GCACGCACGCACGCACGCCCTCACGCACGCACGCACGCACGCACGCACGCACGCCCTCACGCACGCACGCACGCCCTCACGCACGCTTAGATAAACAATAATTTAATTTAAACAATGTTTGATGCTACTATATTGAACACGATTTCTAGCAATGCAAGCACAGATGTAAAAATCTGCCTTCACAAACACGTGTGCGATCTGTTACAGCGAGATACAATTGACCGCTGTCATTCGATTTTCCCGCTTTTTCCCGCGGTCCAAATGAAGCGAACAATTTCGTTTTAGTAACTTTTAAATGGGAGTTTTGTTGCTTTTGACATTTTAAGTATTACTATTACTGAAATGTCAGACATATTTGTCGTATTATCCGGCTGTATAGCATTTACTATGCAAGAAAAAAAATTGTGTGCTTTAATATTTATGTTTATTTTTTAAATTTATGGCCCTTTTATAACATATGCTACAGGCCCTACACTAGCTTAATCCGGCCCTGCTTCCAAGCACTTCTCATTCGTACTTACTCAAACATGTGTTCGTCACAAACGAATGCCGAGCCGCTAGCGACAAACAGGACACCCCGGCTGTTCCCTGCAAGACAATAAATAATATTTATTGATTTATATTGCACAAGTTACATGCAAATATGTTCACGTGCGCATTACAAAGGCTGATTATGCAAGACACTAACATTACACTAACAAGACACAACATGGCGACATGAGCTCATGTACATAGCTGTGGTCATGAGTGAATAATAATATATCTATTCTCTATATCTATCTATCTATCTATATATATATATATATATCTATCTATCTATCTATCTATATATATATATATATATTATTCACTCCTGCTGTGGTTATATCAATTGCTGCAGCAAACAGTCGTGAATACTTACTTACGCTGTGACACATATGAGCTACTGATTCTCTACTGCAGACCATCCGGGAGTATGAAATAATAGCCGACAATGATTGTACCGAAGTTAAACGACAGGTAAATATAACATGATATCTGATTGGCTTAAGTATGCGTCGAGTTGACCGAATTAAAAACAATTTGATTTCGAGAACGCCGGTTCGTGCGTGCATCTATTAATCACGTATGCGC